CTTCCTTCCTTCCTTCCTTCCTTCCTTCCTTCCTTCCTTCCTTCCTTCCTTATGTAAGTGCCTCTTATTTCTTTTTCTTATCTTTCTTCTCTGGCTAGAATCTTCAATACAATGAATAGAGCAGGCAAGAGGGGACATTCTTGTAATGCTCCTACTCTAAGGGAAAGTAGTTAGTCTTTCATCATTAGTTGTGATGTGAGCTGTGGTCTTTTCATAGATGTGTTTAATGGAAATGACTTTCAATTCCAAGTGTTTTATTATTATTTTAGTATTTTATTATGCAAATGTGTTGGATATTTTCTTTTTTCTGTGATATTAAGATAACCATCTGGTATTTATTTTTTACTCTATTGATATGGTATATTACAGCCGCTGACTTTTTTTTTTTAATGTTGATCCAAACTTGCATTCTTGAGATAAATCCCATTTTGTCATGGTGTATAATTCTTTTTACATGTTGTTGAATTTGGCTTGTTAGGAATAATTTAGTATTTTTCATCCATATTCATAAGGGATATTGATATAGATTTTTTTCCTTGTGATGTCTTTGTCTAGTTTTGGAATCAGGGTACTATTGACCTCATAGATTGAGTTTGGAGATGTTGCCTCCTTGCCTATTTTTAACAAGAGTTTTTGAAGAACTGCTGTTAATTTTACTTTAAATGTTTATTGGAATTCATTAGGAAGCAATATGTTCCCAGGCTTTTCTTGGAGGGTAAACTTTTTGATACAAATTCAATCTTGTTATTTATTACTTATTCAGAGTTTCTATTTCTTCTTGAGTCAGTTTTAATAGTTTGCAATTTTCTATCTGCAAAATTGTTGGCATCAATTATTCATCATTTCTCATATAATCCTTTTTATTTCTGTATGGTTGATAGTATTATCTTCTCTTTCATTTCTGACTTTTACAATTTGATTTTATAATTTTTATAATGTATAATTTTTCCTTGGTCAGTCTATCTAGATCTTTGACAGTCTTGCTGATCTTTCCAACTCTTGGTTTCATTAAATTTCTTTGTTGTTTTTCTGTTGTTCATTTCCTTTATTTCTATTTTAATGGTATTTTCTTCCTCTTGATTGCTTTGGGGTTAGTTTGCTCTTTCTTTTCTGGTTCTTGAGGTAGAAGGTCAGTTATTAATTTGAGGTCTTTATCTTTAGGTTTTTTATTGTATAGGTATCTCCCTATGAGCAGTTATTTTATTTTCTTCTATAACTTTTGGAGAGTTGTTTTTATTTTCATTCATTTCAAAGAAATTTCTAATTTTTCTTGTGATCTCTTTTTTGGTCTATGTTTATTTAGAAATAAGTTAATTTCTACATTTTGTGAATCCTGCAATATTCCTATTATTTTCATTTTTTATTTCAACATTGTTTCAAAACATACTTTTTAGGATTTTAGTCCTTTAAAAATTTTTTTTTCTATGAGTGCTTCTTTTTTTTTATTATTTATTCAAAACATTACATAGCTCTTGACATATCATATTTCATACATTTGATTCAAGTGGGTTATGAACTCCCATTTTTCCCCCGTATACAGATTGCAGAATCACATCGGTTCCACATCCACGTTTTTACATACTGCCATACTAGTGTCTGTTGTATTCTGCTACCTTTCCTATCCTCTACTATCCCCCTCCCCTCCCCTCCCCTCCCATCTTGGGAAAGGGAGAGAGAAGGGAAATTTCATGGAAATGGAAAGAGACTTTTAAAATTTTTGAGGGTCATTTAATAGCTTAACATATATATGGTTTCTCCTGGAGAACATTTCATATGTACTTGAGGAAAAACTTTTATTTATCTATTGTTAGGCAGAGTATTTTTGTAAATGTCTCTTTGCTCCAATTGGTTTATTATATTGGTCACAGTTCTATTTCTTAATATTCTTTCCACTTGTTCCATCTATTATTGAAAGTGGCATATTAGTGTCTTCAAGTATTATTGTTGAATTGTCTATTTCTCCCTTTGTTTTTTCCTAAAGTGTCTATGTCTGTCATAGAAAATATATAGTCAAAAATATATAGTCAAAATATATAGTCAAAATATATAGTCAAATATTTTAATCGATTCTGCCAATTTCTGACTTTTTGTTGGAATGTTTAATGCATTTATATTGAATGCAATTACTGAAGATTTAGGATTTTCCTCTGCCATTGACCTTTCTTTTTTCAAATGTCTTCATTTTCTTCATTATTATGTCTTCAAATGTTTTTTCCTCTGCCCTCCTCAGTCTCGCTCTCCTTTGGGGATTTCATTATATGTACGGAGATATGCTTAATGGAGTCCTATAGGTGTCTGAGGATCTGTTCATTTTCCTTAATCATTATTTTCTTTCTGTGCTGTAGACTAATTAATCTCAGTTGACCTATATTTAAGTCCTGTCCTTTGTTCTTCTGCCTGCTCAAACCTGCTGTTAATACCCTTGAATGATTTTTTAGAAAATTTCAGTTATTAGAATTTTCAACTGTAGAATGTGTTTTATTTTTATTCTTTTTGTATTTATATCAATATTCCTTATCTCATGAGGCATCTCCTGTTTAATTTTTATACTTGGCTCTTTAATTTGATTCTTTCACCACATTTAAGGTAGTTAATTTAAAGTCTGTTTACTTAGTCCAAACTCTGAGTTTCCTTGGGACCATTTCCCTGTATTTATTTTTTCCCATATACAAGCTATTGTGTCATGTTTCTTCATATGCCAGATAATTTTTATTAAAAATGGAAATTTAAATGATATAATGTGGAAAATGAAAATCATATTTCTCCCCTTTTCAGGGTGGTTGTTGTTGTTTGCGGTTGTTTGTTTCAGTGACTTTTCTCTACCCAATTTGTGAAGTCTATATTCTTTGTCATATACATCCACCCATGGTTGTGCTTGGCTAGCTATGTTGCTTTGCTAATGCTTGAAGACATGTTTCCTTAAATGTCTGGAACCACAAAGTCTCCCAGTCTCTACTGATGGGGCTGTGTGTGTGTGTGTGTGTGTGTGTGTGTGTGTGTTGGGGCATTCCTTCAACCTTCAGCCAGGCAGTTGACAACTTTACCTTAACCTTCACTTTTCTGCTCAAACAGAGAGTCAAGGTCAGCCAGAGGTGAGAGCTTAGGGCTTCTTACCTTGGTCTTGTACAGACACACAACCCTAGGCCTACACATGCATGTAGCTTTCTAAATTCCCAGAAATATGTTGGAGCTTGTTAAAATCCCTACAAAAACTCTCTTGCCAGCTTTTCCTTTCAAGGTTTTTGATTAATCTACTGTTCAACCCAAATGTCACCCACTGCCTCAGTAAGCCACAATGTTAAACAGTCACCTCTAATTGTTTTTGACAAGTGCCCTGGGGATGAGATCCTTTGTCTCTTTGGGTGAGCTCCAAATTAGGTCAAATAAAGACAGCTTTAGCAAATGCAAAGAAATGATCACATTTTAGAAGATGAAAATGCTAATTACTCTGATTTGATCATTACATATTATATGAATGTATTGAATTGCCGCACTGAGCCCCATAAGTATACACGATTATTATGAATTAATTAAAAATAAATTTAGAAAAGTACAGCTTTGGGAGTTGGGTCTTTCAAGGATCAATCAGGTCAAATAATGTCAGTTTCTGGGAATGGGGCATTGAAGGAGTCTCACTACTGTTCTGCCCTTCCATGACTGCCCGGGTGTTGGTTTTCACTGTGATTAGGGACACTTGGTTTCCCAGGCTACCACAGAGATGGAAATAGGGCAATTTAAAAATGCCACAAAGATACTGTTTTTACAAGTTTTAACAAATAAATACTCCCTGGGATGCTGCAAGTTTCTTGAGCTGCTGATTAATTTCCAGAGTTTGGGAAAAGTAATTTCTGATCAAAGTTTATCTCTGGACAGTTTTATTGTTGCTTCTATGGAAGAGATAATTTTTAAAGGTCTTTAATCTGCCATTTTCTCTGAGGTCTCTTAATCTTTTTTTTTTTTTTAGCTGATTTCAATTCTATATAAATTTCATGACATATTGAAATGTATGCTTGTACCTTGAAAATATGGTTATCTTTACTTATAAATTATTTCTGTCTCAATTAAAATGAACAAAAAGGACTGTGTCAAATATGATTGGAATTTTCCAGTGGGTATAAGTCTGAATAAAGTAGACATTTTGATCAAATTATCATCTGATTTTTTTTATGTATACCCAAGATATAGATGGCTGAGAAGGCAGTGACTAAATTCTCTTTTCTTGGCAATAGATTCTTTATAAGTTCATTTTACATTACTATAACAAAATGCCTGAAGCTCGGTATCTCGGTAAAGAAAAGAGGTTTATTCATCACAGTTTTGGGGTAGAAGGGCATGGTACTATCATATTCTCAGTGGATGTATCACATCATGGTGCGAGCACATGAGAGGAAGGAGGAGATCACTTCTTGAAACAGGAAAACAGAGAGAAGGACCTAGATCCTACAATCCCTTCTGAGGGCACACCCTCAGTTGTCTATGACCCTCTCACTAGGCTATGCTCTTAAAGGTCCTACCACCTCCTACTGACCGAGGACCAACCTCTAACACATCAACCTTTTTGAGGGAGGGTCACACTTAAAGCATATCCAAACCAAGCAGGTGCTTACATTAGATCTGTTGGGTTTGCCTATAAGCTCCACTTTGGTGAAAGTCTTGAAAATCTTTTAACAGGATGCAGAGTCTAGATGAACCCTGGACAGAAGAGGAGGGGGAGGGCCCAGACCACCCATATTACAACAGCATTCCCAGCAAGATGCCCCCTCCAGGAGGTTTCCTTGATGCTCGACTGAAAAACAGACCCCATGCCCCCGACTCGGCCCAGGTAAGTCTTACGTTTTCTCCTGGGTTGGAGGCTCACTGAACTTGCTTGCCTTTTGTTCTCATCAGTTTTTTTTTCAGGTGATATTCCAATTATCCTTTGACACAATCACTCACACTTTCTTTTGCTGGGTTCCACCGAGTGTACAGATGGGAGAGACTTTTTGTTTAACATCACGCTGTGTTCCCCAAGTGCCTTAGAACCATATTGTGGTTCCTGAGATTTGAATCTGGGGAGTCCTCTCTATCGTAGGACAGATCCCTTCACGCTGTGCTTGATCTTCATGAGGGGAAGATAGAATTTGGAACCTTTAAAAGGTGTGTGATATTGGGTGTTCTCTGAAAAGAGAGGGGACAGAGAACCTTGAAGTATGAGAATCTTATGCATTTTTCTCTTTCCCTCATTCCCCCTCCAACTCAAAATTTTCCTTTAAATCTAAATTGCTTTCTAGAATTATATCTCTATCTTTTTGTAGGAATTTTCTTTTCTTTTCTTTTTCTTTTTTTCCCTCCAGAATTGATATAGAACCCAGAGCCTCATGCATACCAAGCCGTGAGCCCCAGCCATGGACATTTTTTTTTTTACCATGACCTACTTATGTGAATGATAATGACTTTAAAATGGCAAAATAACACCGATATCAAAGGTCTGCCACCGAGAGGGAAGCTTCTGTTTTTCAGGAAGTGTGTTTCCCTTAACATAAATGACTATGGGTGCCGGGCATTGGATGGGAAGTGCAATATGGCACATGGACACTCTCTTTGATTAAAATCCCTCTTAGAATATGAGCAGTGACGCAGCCACACGGGCCAGAGCTGACTTTACAGTCATGTTTGGAGAGGGACTGTGAGGTCATGGATATAAGGAGGCTGTGTGTGTGATTTGACGGGGTGCAGCCTTTTGCTCACACCCACGCGGATTTATTTATCAAATTTTAACCAGACTCGGGGGCATCAAGGGAAAGTGGGACGTAACAGAGAAAGCCATGACCCCCTCAAGGTCCCACCCGCTGCACTATGGCTTTCCGAGATGGCGGAGGGGTAGAGGGTAAAGCTTTCTTTCTCTATATTTACATGTGTCTATAGTTTGCAGGAAAAGAGCAAACTTATTACCAGGGAAGACACTTGGGAGACACATTTGGCGAAGACTGGCAGCAGACACCTCCCAGGCAAGGTGAGAGGCAAGGTGAGCCCGGGAGAAACGGAACACGCTTGGGATGGGTGATGTGCTCACTGATGTGACCAGGGCTGTGGTCCCTGTGGAGCAGCACAGACCAGAGGCAGCTCCCGCCTGCTTTTAGAAGACATGTCCAGGTCTTAGCCAATCTATTAACACACTTATGTCACATACTAAAAATAACTTAAAGGTGGCTATCTAACTGTATCTAATGTAGATACAACTATCTATAATCCAGACATCGTCTAAGAATAATTTGGATAGATATCCAGATAGAATTATGATAATTTACATACAACTTGCTAAGAACTTGCTAGCTGCTCACAGTTATTAATACAAATACACCCATTCCCACATCTGTCTTCCATCCATCTATTTATCCCTCCATCAATCTGTCCATTTATCCTTGAAGTCTTTCTTTTAATTTTAAACCTTTTCCCTTCTCAAAAATTTTCTTGACTCTTCAAATGGTTCTGTGGTCCTGCTACAAAATCTATGTGGTCTAAATGAGGTGGCTCCAACTCACACCACTATGGAGGTAAATTTAACCACTTATTGATTTAATGTTAAGATTTACCCCTTGGTTATAACCATTTGTGCCAAGAACCAAGTGACAATTTTTCAGATTTTCCTCATACAAAAGAATGTCATGTCTTCTCTACCCCAGTGAAAGGGAGAGCTGTGGGGTTGGCCCCGTCAACAAAGGATAAGGCCAAGCTAAAGCCACCATGTGGCTCTGCCTTAAAGTAGGTTGGAAATAATCAAAGATATGATTTTGTCAAGGTGCTTTTTCACCATGAGCCATTCACCTCTGTTCTATTTATGTTTAAAATGTATTATGTAACATATGCATGGAGAGATATAATTGTCAGAGGCTAAAATAGATGTGTTCTTTCTTGTAGATATTTACTTTATTATAAAATAAATCAGGTTTTTGTAAAATAAGTCTTTTTATATATATTTAAGTTATTCCAGCTGGTTCAAGATCAGAGAACGTAGCTGATCCACCAGGGCAAAATGAATCTTAAACTAAGTTCCCCATCTGGAACTTAAGTCTCAAGCTCTTATTGAAAAATAATAAGTATGTTTTCCCATAAAACAGATATGTTCCCATAAAACAGATTGTTCATTTTCCAGTAGCTCTTCCTCCTAAGTGAGTGTGGACTCAGGGACCACCGTGGTGGGTGTCCATCTGTCCCCGTTCAGCACCTGCTGTCATCTGCAGTGGGAAAGGACTGTCAGCAAGGTCATTCATGGGGCTTTTGATCTCCTTTTTGAAATGAGCTTGTGGATATTTGTTCACAATATACGCAAAGGTGTGCACTTAAATAGCACTTCTTAACCTGGGGCAGGTGATCCAGAAATCGCCTCTTAAACATAGAAATAGTGTGTGGGATTCAGAGAGTAGAATCGCAGCTCGTGGTTTTGCAGGTGAGGCCTCCCAGGGAAGCAATATCAGCAGGCCAACTCCCCCTCACACGTGCTGGCTGGGAGATGCCGTGTGCTGGCCAACACCTAGCCATAGGCTCTTGGCAAGGTTTTTAAAAAGCCCTAAACTGACTCTTGCCAGTTACATGGAGCCATCTTCAACATATTACTGGCCCCAGGGTATGCAAGATGCCCTCTTTCCAGAAAGGAGAGCACCACAGGGCATTCTCTTGGATAGGGTTGTTTAGCTGCGTTGGAGGCAGGGCAAGCACAGGAATAGCAATCCAAACAGGCAACCTTGGCAGCACCTCTTATGCCACCTCTGGGTGATGGAAGATCTGGACCCTGGGCTCCCTCAGCCTCAGCACCCCTTTGACCAGCTGGGAGGTCCAATTGAGGAGCATCACTGCCTTGTAAGAGGGGCCTCCCCCATCATGCACCCACCTGGGCTCCCTTATAGATCCAGGTCAGCAGTGGTGGCTCTGTGTTGTAAGGAAACTGTCTCAGTCCTTTAGGAGGCACTTCATAATTTATAAAGCATTCGCGGACACTTAAATAAAGAGTGGTTAAACCAAGCTTGACGGTTCTCCTGCTCAGTTATTTCATCCCAGAGTGTTGTAAAGGAGAGAAGGAAGCAGGGTATCTTCTGGCTGCGGGGCTTGCAGGACCCTGGGGACAGTGTGGCCCAGATCTTTGGTGAGACCCCTAACCAATATGGTACCCACCCAAGGTTAGCTGGAAGATCCCATTTTGACAGAGAAGCATCCTAGCCAGGATACAGCTAGGATGACAGACTTAGAAGAGGAGAATTTAGCTGATGGGGATCTTCAGGAAGAATTTTCTTGTTGGTAGGCTTAAGGAACCCTTCTGTGGAATGGCGGGTGGTTTCACTATAGAGGCATGAATAGGGTCGCCCTGCTAAGAGAAATAGGGACGTGTTTTCTTGTTGCAGGGTCCCTGGACATCTACACTATGCCAGAAGGGAAATCACATGCAGCCCCCATGGCAGAAGTACCCACCTATGTCAACACCCAGCACATCCCACCGCAGGCCTGGCCAGCCGTGGCCAACAGTGCAGAGAGCAGCCCACGGAAAGACCTCTTTGACATGAGTAGGTCTCCATTTGTCTCTTCCTTTCTTCTCTTTTGAGGTTACCTTTCACACTGACTTTTATTTGCTCTCTGTGCAATGACTGGATTTCTTGCTAGCAGGGTTTTGATTAATGGTGGTGATTAGCTGCACTTTTCTGGGCTACGATTGGGCTCATTTAAGGCTTAGGAACTTATATAACCCTCTCTACAGTCAAGAGGCAAAGCCAATTTCCCTCTCTTTCTGGAAAAGACTTTCTTCTTGAAGACCTGAAAGTGTATTGAGATAAACAATATGCACAAATAAAAGTGCTCATTGATCTACACACTTAAATATTAATTGCCTATTAAATGCCAACTGTTGTATTAGTTGTCAAAGATGCAAAGATGAAACGGGCCGTACTCACAGAGTCAGTCCACCAGGCAGGAGCAACGGATAAACAAGAAATCACAGAGCACCTCTCTCTTACATGTATTTTCTTTCTCTCCCTCCCGTTTTTCCTCTCTCCTTCTCATTGCTTCTCTCAGTTTTCTTTTCATCTCCTCTCTCTTTTCTCCTACCTACTTCCAAGAATTTATTGAGTTCTTCCCAGGTGTCAAATACTTTTCTATTTAGTGGAGATACACAGAGAGCCAAATAGATGGTCTCCACTCAATGGGTTTTAAACACATAACTGTGTATCACCAGATGGTAAGAAGTGCTCACAAGTTATGAACAGCAAAATAAGACGGGGGCATGGGGTGGGCGGTGATCAGAGGTGGCAGTGTGGTGGCATGTGAACCGTGGGATTTCTGTTTGTCATATAGATCTGGGAGGTGGGCAATATTATTACTAACACCATCCCTATGTTATAGAGGAGGAGATGGAGAATCCTAGAGGTTAAGAACCTCCCCATGTGTAAAAGGCTCTGCTGGTCTAGAACTTGCTACTCCAGGTATCTGATGTGGGTGAGGCTGGGGTCACATGCCTCTACTCCTCAGCCAATCTGGCTGCCTAGACTCATTGGACTCCCATTTTGACTCTCATTTTGTCAAAAATCACCTCAGCTAGAAGAACTCTTGAATCTCAATGCTGAGAGGCACCTTAGGTTCCTTCATCCAAAGTGTTCACTTTTTTAAAAAGTGAGAAAGCAGCCCAATAATGTAGAACCAGATTCCTAAACTGCAGAGCAGAGTGGTGACCCTCCCACCTCTGCTTCGGCTGTTGCGGTATCTCCCAATGGTAGTTTTGTCATTGTATTTTTGGGCAGGCCATTTTTACTGTTTAACGTAGTCCATTTCCCAGTGACTCCTGGCCCCAGAGCCTGGGGAGAGCTGGTGGGTTAGTTGGGCTTTGAGGAAAATGGGAACCGGAGCTATTGTTTTTCCACCAATTAATTTCTAATTTCCCATCAATTAATTTCTATATCAGCTCCAGAAACCAGAGAAGGGGAAACAGATGGTAGAAAGGGTCTTAGAGAGGCTCATGTCTATTAAAAAGTAATTAAAAATACAAGCCAGTACTGTGTTGTTTATCTTGAAGCACTAGGGCTAAATAATACTCGTGGTGGTGATGATGGTAATGATGGTGATGTGAGTGATGATGGTGATAGTCATGATGATGATGATGGAAATGGTCGTGATGGTGGTGGTGGTGGTGATGAAGATTATGAAAACAGCAGTAATGGTAATGATGGTGATAGTGATGGTGGATTGATGGTGATGGTGGTGGTAATGGTGATGATGGTGATAATGAAGATGATAATAATGGTGATGGTGATGGTGATGATGGTGGTAGTGATTAAGATGATGATGGAAATGGTAGTGATGGTGATGATGGTGTTGGTGATGATGATGGTGGTGATGAAGAAGATGATGGTGGTGGTGGTGAAGATTATGGAAACAGTAGTGATGGTAATGATGGTGATGGTGAGGATGGCAATGGTGGTGATGGAGGTGGTGATGGTGATGATGATGGTGATGGTGATGATGGTGATGGTGATGGTGATGATGGCAATGGTGGTGATGGAGGTGGTGATGGTGATGGTGATGATGATGGTGATGGTGATGGTGAGGATGGCAATGGTGGTGATGGAGGTGGTGATGGTGATGGTGATGGTGATGGTGATGGTGATGGTGAGGATGGCAATGGTGGTGATGGAGGTGGTGATGATGGTGGCAATGGCAGTGGTGAAGATAATTGTGAAGATGGTGATGATGGTGATGGAGATCATGTTGGTGCTGATGGTGACTGTGCTGACCAATGTGAATGTGGGGACAAATGGGATGCTGCTGCTGATGGTGAAGATAGCAAAGGTGGAGATGATGCAGAAATAGTATAACACAAATTTCCAACTACTCCAGGTGATCAGATAAGATGACCAAAGAGGAAAACCCACAGACCTAATCTTAGCCTATCATTTTAACCCCTTTTCCCCCCTAAACCTGTGACACTTTGCAGCTATCGAAAAGATCTAATTTTGGTTTCATGTATTCATCTCTTTTCTTTCTATCCCCCTCTAATATTTGCCAGATTTAGCTTATTTGACGGCACCCACAGAATACTTAAAGATGGACTGTGTCCTAGGAACAACATGGGGCTCTGGAGATGTAGCTGTGCCCAGGAGAGAACCATTCCTCTTCTTGTGGTGCTTGCCCCTCGCTGGGTGGGCAGTGGGATCCTAAATCATCCTCATCACACCTGTTTCACAGCCTGTGCTCATTTTCCAGAGTGCGTTGGTACCTACCACCTTACTGGAAAACTGAATGTTGAAACCAAATTAGACTTTTCTGTCTACTTTCTTTGCCACTGGTTTTTGTTGCTGCTGGAGCAGCAGTTTCCCCATCCACAGCCACCTTGTAGACAGAAGTGTGTTTCAAGGGGGATAAAGCCAAGTGTGGTGTCAGGAATTCAAGCAAGCCCTTTGTGGTGGGGAAATAAATGAAGGTCAAGGGGAGTTAGAGTTTCTATCCTAGAAGTCACACAAGGGGTACCCAAAGATTTTGAAGTGAACTGTTGGTAAGTTGGGCTTAGGTTCTACATGAAATCAGAGCTGCACAACTTGCCTTCACCTTTGGTATTAGCAAGTTTTTATTTTGAATTTATTAAGAAACATGGCTGATATTCCAGGGAAATTGGAGGGAATGAGCTATGTATGGCCTCTTGTAGTGTGCAGTGACGAAGTCCTACTGTCTAGCTAGACAAAGGGTGAACTTGAATCCTTGGCACAAAGTAGAACTTCCAGCTGTCCGGGAAAACAGACTCCCCAGAGGGAGTCATGCCAACATTTGGGCTGTGCTTGTAATTACTGGTTATGATAAGTCTTCATATGTTACCAACCAGTTCTTCTTTCCTAGTTTTCCTACCCTGGGCGGGGGGCCGGGGTTGTGTTTGCATTTTCATCTCTTACATGATATTTTGATCATTTGCTCTTGTGGTGATTGACTGACTCATTGCTGGCAAATGTCCTTGATGCAGAGCCTTTTGAAGATGCGCTCAGGAACCAGTCCTTGGGACCCGTGTTGAGCAAGGCAGCCTCCGTGGAGTGCATCAGCCCTGTCTCACCCAGAGCCCCCGATGCCAAGATGCTGGAGGAACTGAATGCTGAGCCTTGGTACCAAGGAGAGATGAGTAGGAAGGAGGCAGAGGGGCTGCTGGAGAAGGACGGAGACTTCCTGGTCAGAAAGAGCACCACCAACCCAGGCTCCTTCGTCCTCACGGGCATGCACCACGGCCAGGCCAAGCATCTGTTGCTAGTGGACCCTGAAGGCACGGTGAGGCACGGGACAGGGCCTTCTCATGAGCTTGTACCTGTCTTTAACCAACTCCACTCACTGGGACACCACAAGGGGTGACCCCTGCACTCCGTCCCCTATCCACGTGTGCGTGCCAGGGACAGAGGCGGAGAGCAGGTGTCGATGGTCAGGGCCCCATGCAAGTCATAAAACTTGGGGAAACATTCATGGCCCGGGAGGAAAGCTTTGACTTTCCTATACTTTCAGATAAATAAATACAGGAACTTTGGCTTACTATGCGGAGACTTTAAAAATGTTGGGTTCCTGTCTCATATCATATTCCAAAGTACCTTCAGTTGGAATTAAAGTCTAAAAGTGAAAGGTGAAACTAAATCTGTAAAAAGAACATTTTTCTTCTTGATACATTCATAACAGACAAAGGAAGCACAGGCTTCTGGTATTTTCATATTTATCTCAAAAATTCCTGAAAGTTGAGTCACTGAGATTTTATCTGTAGGCCGAAAAATTACTGAACAGTAAGCAAGATCCCCACCAATTAGTCTCTAGTTTTTTCCTCTGCGAGAGGTGATGCCCAGTGGGGCTGAGTTTGACCGTTTCTGGCTGTACAGTTGTGTCTGGATAATTGTGTGGGTTTGGCTGAATTGACCATCTTCCAATCAATAAATAGATCCGGACTTCACCCTGGGAATAGTCCAAATAATTGCACTAAATGCAACTGAATTAACTTAACTGCTGAGTAAATTCCAGAATTGTTGTTTAAAACTTCTTATGCAGTGAAAACAAAAAGCAAGGTAGAATTGTTTAAGTGATTGACAGGTAGGAACGAAGCTTTAGTCTTCATCTGGACTTGAACATATCCTCTGTGTGTAGGCGGGTGCAGGTGGGCTGGGGGTCACTGGAGGGGCCCAATGCTCTCAGCATTCTTTAAACATCTGTTTGCATAATTCCTCTTTCTCTTCCACCAAGACAACCACCTCCCAGGCATGGAATATAATAAATGTAACCATTTCCTTCCAGGTTTATTTTCTGTAGTAATTTTTTATATAGATGTCATCTGTAAAAAATATATATTTTGTGTTCATGTCTTTTAGAAATTTATAAACACGATGTTCCACAGATCTTCTTTCATTTCCTTCCTTCCTCTCAAGTTCTTGAGTTGCATCAATGGTGCTTTCTGTGTATCGGATCATCACTTTGGGGGACTGCCTGGAGACCTTCAGATGCACATTTTGAGTCCCTCTAAATTCTCTGGAGAAGGTTGTTTAAGCTGCTACAGACCCTCGTGCGTGTTTCTCTCTATCCCAGGGATAGTGTCTCTGGGGCATATGCCAGGGGTGGAAGTTTTGGTCACAGGAAATACATATTTAATTTCACCAGGGTTTGCATTTGCTTCCAGATTAGCTGGGCTACTGAGGGGACCCTACATCCTCAGTCTTCCTAGATCGCGTCTGTCTAGTTTTGCTAATTGGCAGGAGTGAGGAGTAAAGTCCTAGTTCATGGACAGATGTGCAATTCTTTGATTGCATATCATTAGCCAAGAACAGGTCTGTCTCCTGTAAGTGTTATGCTCTTGTTCCCATACTTTTCTTTTGACTTTCTTTTTGAGTTTTTCAGCAGTAGAATTTCCATGTGCCTCCTCTTCTTCTTCTTCTCCTTCTTTCTTCTTCTTTGCTTATTTGATCATTTTGCCTGTGGGGTTCTTTATCAAATAGAAGTCTTTCTTTGGAATGGCGAATCCACCAATTTTTAACCCTTGGGATTAATGGTTTTGAGTTTTAAAATTTTACTCACCCACAAATCACAAAGGCACCGTGTTCTATATATTTTTTCTATTTCTCTTCTTCTAGCCAGTAGTTTTATTGTTCACAATTAGGTTTTAATTTCAATGGGAAATACTTTTGAATATGATATGAGATAGGAGACCCTAAATTTTTAAGTCTTCCTTATAGTAAGTCCATTTTTTTTTTTTTGCTTGCCATTTACCAAATTATTCATCGTCTCTCTGCCATACCAAAGTTCCTTCTATAACATACTGATTCTTGACATCCTGGGTCTATTTCTAGACTCTTCATTCTATTGACCTGACTATTTATTCCTGTGTAAGAACTGTGCTCTTTTCATTGTTAGGACTTGGCAGCTGTCTAAATATCCGGTGGTGTGAGTCCTTCTCTTGACTTTCCTTTATCAGAATGGTCCAAGCATGTTCTCAAACATTCATTCTTCTTTATTTTGTTTGTAAAATCAGTCACCCAAAATACTTGCTGGGATCTTGATAGGACTTATGTTAAATGTATAGATTAATTTGGCAAAGAACAGTCAGTTTTCAATACTAGATCATCACCCCATGATGTGATGAACCATTTACTCAGACTTTAAGATATTCTTTGAGAGAGTTTTAAAAGTCTATTTAGACAGTTCTTCTGTTCCCTTTGTTTGGTTTTTTTGTTTGTTTGTTTGTTTGTTTGTTGGTACCAGGGATTGAGCCCGGGTCTGCTTTATCACTGAGCCACATCCCACCCCTCTTTTTTCTATATTTTATTTAGAGACAGGATCTCGCTGTGTTGCTTTGAGCCTCACTAAGTTATGGAGGCTGGCTTTGAACTTGTGATCCTCCTGCCTCATTCTCCCAAGTTGCTGGGATTACAAGTGTGTACCACTGCACTCGGCTTGTTAGGTTATTTCTGAAGTGTCTAGTTTTAGTCCCTGTTGTAAGTAGTATGTTATTTTTAGTTACATTTTCTTAACAATGACTGCTGTAGGAAGAGGAATGTGGAGGGATCTTGTGCCTAGAGATTTTGCTGATTCTGGCAGGCTCCCTGGCACTCAGTCTTTGCAGATACTGGGAGTCTTGTCTCTTGCTTTCCAGGGCCCATCCTGGCCCCTGATCTACCACTAGGTGCAGCAGTAAGCATTAATCAGGAGGGGGCGCCCTCACCTGACCTCAAATGCAAGGAAATGTTTTGCAGGGTTTTTTCCCTTAAGGATGTTTGCCGTAGCCCTTTAGTGGTCTGTTCTTCTCAACCTAAAGGAATTCATTCATTCATTCATTTAACAAATGTGCACGGAATAACTACCAACTCCAGACATCAACTTTTGGCACCCGGTCTGTATCTGTGAACCAATTTAAATAGAAAAATCTCTGCTTTGGTGGAACTTATACATATTATTTACCTAATAACTCTTATCATATGTAAGTATTGAACTTCATCCAATACTTCCTCAGCATCTTTTGAGATAATAGTGAGATGTCTTTCCTAAATCCATCCATATAAGAATGACACAGGAGGGCTTTCTGATGTTGCATCCTATCCTAAACCTACCTTCCCTGTTGGATTTGGATACCTCATATTTTCTTTAGGATTTTTTGAAGACTCTGACGTGACGTCCCTCTCAACTGTCTTTACTGCTTTTGCGCCTGTGTGTGCTCATCTGGTTTGGGTGTCAAGATCACGGGCCACGCTTGCTTTCTAGAGCAGGCCAGACTTTCTCCAAATCAGAGGTGGCTTATCAGGAGACTCTTCCCTGATGGATTTACTTCCCTGTGTGCTTCCTGATTCTTTGTTCTGATTTGTTTTGGCTTTAATGCACTTATGGCAAGCAAGCATTGGTACCCATTTATTAATTTGCTTATTATTTGCCTCTCTGCTTCCTCTAGCCTCTGATCTTGATAAGGGTAGTGGCTTTGTTTATTGTCCACCCCCAGCAACTGAAATGGTCCCTGGCACACAGTAGGTGTTCAATAAGCATTTGATAAATGCTTGATCAACTTGGGCTTTTCCTGGTTAGTAGTTGAGAATCCAGGGAGGTTACGGGGGTGTATGTATACAGGGGCATGAGGGTCACACCTTACTACAGATGAAGACTTACAAGCAAGATTTTTCTAACTAGAACTAGCCCAGGGTTCTTTCTAACCACTTAGGTCATCTAATAATTCCATTGTGGTTAACTAAAGAAAATAGGAGAGAAAATACTCAAGCAATTCTATGAGAATCTACACACTTCACTTGAAAATCTAGGTTATTAAAAAACACAAATGTGAAAATATAGCTATATATGTCATTTTATAGAACAAAGATGATTACGTTTTTCCATTTAGTCTTTAAAGGGCCAAAGAATAACTTAGAGAGAGAGAGAGAGATGCACGACTAATAATGTATTTATCATAAATTCACAAACCAGTTTCAAGATGATGTAGAAAATGAGGAAATGGAATTGGAAGTAACATGGTTAAGCCAGGTGTCCACAGCAGCCATTACTCAAAGTTTTCATGTATTTTAATTTTGGAGGAGAAATGTGTGGCACCACTGAGAACATTTGTTAAGTCAAACCTACTAATGGCTTTTCTTTGGGGGGCTTTTATCTGGGTCTGATTATCGAGTTGGATTGATCCTCTGGAGGATAGCTTTAGATGAAAAGAAAATGGAAATGAAAGACTTAATGAAAAATGTAGCATCGCTTCCTTGCTGTGAGGACACCAAAATAGACGCTGAACACATTCTCTTCAATATTTATTCATCTGATTTTCATGGTAATTGGTCGGTCCCTGACTATAAAGGAGGGAACTTGGCAGAACAGATTACTCAGAGACGGAAGGCTGCAAAGCAATTCTGCATCTAAATTTACTCCAGTGTCTACCAACCCCGGAGCCTCCCCCTGTGTGCCGAGGTCACTGGGAACCTGGGCCAGGAGGCCAGCCGTGGCAGCTTCTGAGTGTCCCTGGTGAGGTGTTGAAACTACTGACCCTAAAATAGCAGGTGGGACATGCGGTGACTGGAGTCCATCAAAACTGGATGAAATGCAGTTGGAAATGCCCCCCCACACACATACCTTTTAAAAAATTTCAACACCTTCTGAATCATATAGTCAGCCTGGGTGTCTAAAACTCTCCTCTGAGTCACTCACCATTGATTCATCCCTTAGGACAGCACAGTAGGGCAGCCACCCTGCTCCCATTTGGATGTGCCACGGCCACACAGGTGACAGGGCTTTCCATAGGCCTGATCCACACGGTCTCAGGT